GTTCACTAATCTTCATTCAAGTTCACACTAAAGTTATTTAACTGTGGTCTGCACGTTACACTACACAGACCAAAGCATTATAGATTTTTACAAATGTAATATATAAGTCCAAATTGATTGCAGCCAAACGTAAATTTAGTCAAATCTTTAATATGCTCTATTAAGGCGTGAATAAGACTTTCAAGCTTTGTCCCAGATACAGAGTAACTGGGACTAGAGCTGAATCAGTTGCAAACAGCCGGAATAAAAACATCTTTGGACATGCTACTTATTCTCAACAATGTGTCATCTAAAATAATGAACTTTTTCTTTCTCAGACATAAAAAATTATAAAATGACAGATCTCACAAGGATGCTGGTTTGGCCCTCCCTTGCCCCTACCAGAGGCTAACCTCCATTACATTGCCTGCAGGCACACACTTCCCACTTATCATCGATTGTACCTATATGTCTAATGCTCCATTTTCCTAGAACAAAACAATCTTTCACAGCACAAGAGGAAAGGCACCAGCCGTTTCCCCAGCTCCAGTTGATGTGCAGGTAGTGGGTTCCAACAGCCCTGCTAGGCATTTGGCACCATCTGTGTCATTCCAAAATGACTAGATGAGGTTTAGAACGAGGGATGCAAACTAGAAATTTGTGCTTTCAGAATTATTTAGACTCTAGGTAATGTGTAGTCCCCTTATATGAAAGACTTTACATGACAAACTGGATAAAGCTGGTCTACGCTATGGCTGAGAATGCATCCTCAGAAATGTGATCAGGGGTCAACCTTGGCTGCATCCTCAGACTCTTATGATGCTAAATACAGGTTTGATGGGGGTTTCCTTGCTTTGAAATATGATACCCACATTTCCTCTGGGTATGTGACTGGGAAGGGGGCAGTTGGGGAAATGAGAACAGGAGGAAATAGGGAGCTTTGTGATTTTGGGGACACTATGAAGGATTACTTAAGCCTCTGCTGTAGCCACTAGCCACCTACAGTTGGTCCCAATTGAAATGTGCTGTAAATGTAAAAGCCACACTGGGTTTCAAAGACTTACTGTGAGAAAAAAGAATGTAAAACATGTCATAAATAATAGGTTGATTATATGTTGCAACTGCCTGTGAAATGGTAATATTGGGGGTATATTGGGTTAAAGAACATATTAAAATTGATTTCTCTCATTTGACTCTTTGAATGTGGCTACTTGAAATTTTAAAATTACATGCGGCTTACATTATATTTCTAGTGGACAGTGCTGCTTTACATCCACTTTACCTGGTAGAATTATGGCTCAAACTTACAGTCTTGTGGTTTCTGTATTTTTCAAACAGAAAATATGAGAAACAGACAATATTGTGTCTTTGAGAAAAACAACAACAACCATGTATCATGGATTTTGGAGTTCAGCAAGCATGTGTCCTAGTTATAGCACATGGGCAACTAACCTTGTCGGAGACTCTACTTCCACATCTGTAACATGAAGATAAGTGTTGATCTTCCCAGGTTATTATCAGAAGTGAGAAATTAGCAGAGTGCTGAGTGCACAGCCTGACAAAGGGAAAGCTCAATAAATATTTGGCATTATTCTTGGTTATATCTCAAGACCTGTCTGATGCCTAATCTTTAATCCCAGTCCATTTCTAACTCAGCTCCTTGTTTCTCTTGTTCTCCAAGATTGTATGTGGTATCATAGCCACCTGCTTCGACACCAAGAAAGCCAAGATTTTCCTTTTTTCTCATCATTGAGGAACCTCAGGTCTGGTTCCCTATGTTCTGCTCCTTGTTCAGACTAAGGTGTCTCACGTGTCTACTTTAACTCATTTCAATTCCAGAGCAAGAATTCTCTCCTGGCTAAAGCTACAAACCAGGCCGCAACTCTTCATCTGCCCCATCCTTTGCCTCATACCTGGGATGCTGGTTCCTGCTTTTCACCGAACTCTGCTTCTTTTGATGTGATGGCCAATCAAGGATATTTGATGGCAGGGAAAGGGGGTGAAGGTAACAGAAGTATAAGGGTCATGCAAATAAGAGATCCACTGAGCAGGAGCAAAGATAGGACAGAGCAATTTTATAACTTCTCTCCGCTTGCCCACAACCCTGCCTTCTTTTCTCATTGCCTTTTTTCCACTGGCTTTAAAAGCTGTGCTGTGTTCAAGCCACGATAAGTACAAGGTGGTTTGTATTGTCTTTCTAGATTCTTGCCACCTGGAGTACAACTTCCCTCAGTGTGGCATAGCACACATCTAAGCCCTGTGCTCAATTTCCATATTCTAGGAAATAAGTCCTTGGATGAAGATAGATGGTTGTCCTCCTTCTCTGAAATTCAGTGGCAGGGAAGAGAAAAAAACATTGAAAACTTTGTGAAGACAGATAGCCTCCCTAGGTGTGGTGAGCTTCCTAGCTCCTTCACAATTAATGAGATGAACCTTTCAGCCCGAGCTGCAGGAGATAAAAACAAGGAGAAATAATTTACAGACACACTTGGAATAGCACAGGCAGCTGAAAGTGCCCATGCTTCTCAAAGCAGTGAAAAAGGCCCTCGATTTCCTCTGCAAGAATTTTTTTTAAAAATCAGAAAAATGTTGAGTTTTGTTTCCATCCAGCATCTGTAACTGTGGGATTCAGAATCTAGTCTTGACTTAAGGTGATCTTTTTTTGCCTTTTCATCAGATCAGTATGTTACTTTGCCTGTTTTAGTTTTAGATTTACTGAGTGTTCTTAGGGTAGCAAACTCAGAGGAAGGAAGGAAGAAAAGTGGTATTTTAAGCTTGGGCTGAGGTTGGACAGGAGAATTGGAAATTCACAGGCAGCAGAGTTCCTAGGGCCCTCTTTTTGACAGCTGGGATTTGTGGAAGATTTGTTATTGGGGAAGCGGGGTTATTTCAGCGTCAGAGAACACACCTAGGGCTACTCTGCCACCAGGCAGGAAGGGGGTGCTCAGGCTAGTAAATGCCGGAGGGCCAACTCTAGATGCGTAAACATGGCTGTCTTTCCTGGAGCATTTCTTAATGAAATATTTACCATGGATCAGAGGCAGGGAGGGATCACTGCCAACAATTGCTTCCCTGTGGTTTCCTAGAAAATCAGAGGTTTGAAAATGTGAATGAATTTTCCTAGTATTATTCAAATTTAGGAGAGGAGAGATGAGGCATTTCTGAAAATCCAAAACATAGCTTTAAAATGTCAGCTTTGTACATGGAACTTACAATCTGGTGTCTTGTGCCCCCTCCCCCCATCCCTGAGAGAAGCGAGCAAATGCACTGCATGTGTCTGATCTAATTTTTCTTGGTTGTTTGTGTGTGTGTGTGTGTGGGGGGGTTTGGTGGTCACTGTAGAATAAACATTCATGAAATGTGTGGTATCAGTTGTCTGTGGTCTAATAGAATATTTCTGTTAGAGGTCATAGAAATAGTGATGATTGTATAAGTCAGAATGCAAATATATGGGCATGCAAACGTGTCCATGCAGTCAGCTTTTGATCCATCTGGGGGGCCACTGAGGCATATCTCTTTAGGGTCTGATCATTTCTGGGCTGTTGACACTGCAGGTCAGTGCCACAAGGGTCATAAGCATGTTACAGGCTGAACTTGAAGGAAGTTTTATATTTTCCATTGTTTTTAGATCATTCTTGTTTAAAAACATTTGAAAAGAAACAGAAGTGCTGTTGCAGGTATGAGCATGATAATTACAGGTGTGCACACCTAATAAATAAATGTCCAAAATAACATTCTCAGTGACAAGCTAGTCCTGATTTTGCTCTCCTTGAGATTGAATGCAAGATCAGTGTCACTAAATATGCTTTTTTGTTACCCAGGGGACGCCGCTTCCATTTGTCTTGGTGATATCATTGAGTCTTCTTTATGCAGACATTCTTTAAAATACAAGTTTCATCTGATATGGCTATACTGTGTACATCTACTTTTTAAAAACGAAGACAAAATTAGATTAATGGACTACATAAAATGCTTTCTGGATACACAACAATGAAAACATTTTTTAAATTAACAGGCATCAACGGGTATAAATAAACTGTCTAAAGCATTTAATGGTCTTTAACACAGTTAACTCCCCCAGCCTGGAAACAGTGTTAAATCCTTTTTTGCTAGTGGCAAAAGAAGCTGTCAAACACAACATTGAAAAATTGGTACCATTTCCTGGCCCATAAGTACAGAACTGAAGGGCTAAATATTTTATGGTTTTTCGTTGTTGTTGTACTCACGCTGTATTTTTTCCCTTTTTCTCCCCTCGTGCCTGCTCAGGGCTGATCGTTGTGACGTTGGCGGTTTGCTGGATGCCTAACCAGGTCCGGAGGATCATGGCTGCGTCCAGACCCAAGCACGACTGGACGAGGTCCTACTTCCGGGCGTACATGATCCTCCTCCCCTTCTCGGACACCTTCTTCTACCTGAGCTCGGTCATCAACCCGCTCCTGTACAACGTGTCCTCGCAGCAGTTCCGCAGGGTGTTCTGGCAGGTGCTGCGCTGCCACCTGACGCTGCAGCACGCCAACCACGAGAAGCGCCTGCGAGGCGTTGTCACTTCCACCACGGACAGCACCCGCTCCACACGCAGACCACTGATCTTCATTGCTTCCAGGCACAATTCCTCTGCAAGGAAACCTAACAAGGTTTTCTTAAGCACTTTTCAGAGCGAGGCCAAGCCCCAGCAACTGAGTCTCGAGTCACCGGAACCCAAGTGGGAGACGGAGCCAGCCAATTCTGCAGCAGAGAATGGTTTTCAGGAGCATGAAGTGTGAATGTCAAGTAAGGAAGCCTTGAGTGCTAACCAGCCCTCCCCTGGCAAAAGCAAAATTACCTTCACACAGCAGTGACAAAATAACCTGTGTCCCCATCAGGGACAGGAGTGGAAGCTGGGGGCCCTGAAAAAGGCTGATGCCCACTTAAGTGTCTTCTAAGGGCTGATTCTGACTCTGCCAGCCTGTCTGTGACTCCGGTCACAGAAGGTGAAGAACTTTTGCCTTAACCCCTTCCTCCCTGTAAGTACACACTGAAAATTCAGTCAGACTGAATTTATTCAGAGCTTACAAAAATGTTTTACACTGAAATTTTTCATTATTTGCAAAGGAACAAAAAAAAAAGAGAATATGGACTCCCTACCCAGAATCAAAGGACAACCAGAAGAATCATGTAGATGGGGTTGGGGGGTGGGGCGAGGGCAAGAAGAACAATACAGGAGGGGCTGGCATCTCCTATAGCTTCAGCAGTGCACCAAGAAGAGGGCTAATTTGAGGAGCAGAATGGTGGTGGGGAGCCCGGGCCGAAGGGCTGACGCAGAGCTGCTCCTTTTCTTGGGCCGGGGCCCGTTGCACAGAGGGGTGTTGCAGCAGCTGATGCACACTGAGTTCAGTTTCCCTGGGGAGCAGAACGACTGATACCCTGCCGAGGCGATGAGGCAGGCTGCCGAGGATGCACATGACTTCCGGTACATGATCCCTGCAACACAAACCCACAGGAGCTGGGTTAACCTGCGCCGGTGGACAGACAGGTCCCTCTGAGCCCTTCCTTCCACCTCTCACATCCTCCACCAGAGGCTTTGCAGGCCAAGTGGATACTTCTTTGTTTCGCTGAGCCCCACTAAATACAGGAGATGTATGGTAAAGAAGGCAGTCATTATTTCACTACTTTTGACAGAATTGTTCCAAACGCTATTTGAGATGCAACGCCAGCAAATAAAGAGCTGTCAAAACCAAAGTTCACTTTTTTTTCAAGTCATAAGTCACACTGTGTACTAGAGAGTTTTACTTTTTTTGTGGTGGTTGTTCAAACTATCATGCCAGAGAGGACTGCAAGCTGCACATCTAGATCTTCTATCTCTGTTATTAACTTGTAAGTGACCACAGAGAGATGGCTCTCAACTATGTATTCATTAAATCCTAGAATTTTCTGAATAAAGACCAAATCCCCATGGAAATAAATCAGATCCCTACTGAAGGGGCCCTGATTTTTCCCAGGTTTGAGGGGTCCACGGGGTTTAGTGAGGGGGTAGTCTGGCTGGCCATGTGCCCAGGACAGCCTTATTTTCAGGGAAGAAGCCTTGCCCTTAGAACATATGGTCATTTGCCAAGTCAGCATCATATCACACAGCCAGCACTCACACACTGTGTGGGCACATAAAGGGTCTTCCTGATAAGACTGGAGGGCCCATCTTAAAGAGCCCATGTGTCATGTCCAAATTGCAGCATAGCTATCAAATTAGGGTAATCATATGCCTTCTTAAAGCTGGAAGTTTACTCAATTCAAATGATAATAGCTAAGCTTATTTAAGTGCTTTCCTGTATGCAAGGCACTCTTCAGAGAGCTAGAATGTCCTAGTTCATTTACTACCTACAAAACCCTACAAGGGAGGACCCCGTGATCACCCCTTTTACAGATGGGGTGCCTAGGGGCAAAAGAGATTTAGTGAAAGTGAAGCAGCTGGGATTTGAACCTAATATCCTGGCTCTATGCGGTCAAGTCTATATAACTATAACAAAGCAGACAGCCAATAAACCACAAAAATTGTTTTGTTTTCTTTTTTTGAGATGGGGGAGGGCGGGGAGGCTTTACTCTGAAACTAGCTGTTGGGGTGTGTGTGTGTGTGTGTGTGTGTGTGTGTGGTAGTTTTGTATCAGGATTTTTTTATTAAGATATAATTGACAAAATTATTTTTGGTCAAATAATATAATACTAACATTATACCTGGAAGTGAATGGCTTTAGCCTCTCTAGTGCCCTGAACAGAGGGATATGACACATTCCAGCAGTAGCCAGGGTCCCTTTCCCTCTGACTCCCTGCAGGTATGTGAATTTACAGATGTAACTTAGGGTCTCCTTCCTCCCGCTTTGAGCATGGCTACTTAGGGTGCAAGAGAAAACAGTAAAGAATTGAACTGCCTAAAACTTCCAAGTGGAAGATAAAGAAATGCTTTACATTTAAAAAAAATTACATTAAAAACACATAATTTTATGTCATTTTTTCCCTATAATTGCATGTTTTATAAGGATTGATGTTTTAACACCATTAGAAAATCTTGGAAGGTAGCTGCTCAGGGTAAGATAAAGCCCATGGACAGAGAATGTGTTACAATTTCTAAGGAACATGCTACATACGATTAAAGGGTGTTGCCTGTTTATAGATTTCCCATAGTCTCTACATTTTCTATCCATTGCCCATTTTAGGAAATTTAGTTTTACTCACTTATCTTTTTATTCTTAAATATTAAAAGTATTGCCATTTGCTAGTTCAACTTCAATAAACTTTTTTCCTTTAGGTAAATTTTAAAAATTCTAAAGTATTTACTGAATTTATTTTTCACTGTAAAAAGCTTCAGACATTCAGATAAACTGAAAAAGCTCCTTGACCACCCCTTCCAATCCCAGGTCCTCCTTATCAGTTTTGGATGCCTCATTCCAGGCCTGCTTTTATACATTTACATATGTGCCCATAGGGAAATAAAGTGTGTGTGTGTGTGTGTGTGTGTGTGTACATTTGTTAATGGTACCACATCCTATATGCTGTTCTGCAATTTGCATTTTTACTTAGTGACATGGCTGAGACTTACTTTTAAGCCTAATTTTGTAGTGCTAAGGGTCAGTGATGAGGTAGGTTAGTTATATAATCTATGAGGAGAACCCTGATTTTTGCATTTGCCACTCAGGGGACACCTCCAGACGACCTGGCCTGTTGGCCAGTGGGGCTTACACTTGTTGCCCCACAGAACTGTATATATTTGCATCGTTTAAAAGCTGCTTGAGGGTCTGGCTTCTAATCAGCCTGAATCCAGATGCTAATTGAGAGCCTCTCCTTTGAGACACTGACTGATGGTAGCATATCCTCAACTACTGGGAGCATTAAAAATAAAATAGGGGGCTTGGGCAATCACAAAGGTTTGCAAAAGAACCAGGAGTGAGGGCAAGGTTGAATGATAAGATTCATCTTCTACACAAGGCCAACCCTTCAAGACTGGGAAAGGTGGCTGTTTCACCTAATTCCAAGAAACTAACACAGAGAGCCAGCAAAATGAAGAAACAAAGGAGTGTGTTCCAAATGAAAGAAGATAAAACTTCAAGAAAAACAACCCAAACAAACAAAAACACATAATGGTCATAAAAAGTCTCACTGAACCAGGGAGAAGAATGGATGAATACAGTGAGAATTCCAACAACGAGACAGAAAAGGTAAGAAAGTACCTAGGAGATGTCAGTTATTGAATATGATAACTGAACTGAAAAATACAGTAAAGGGGTTCAACAGCAGACTAGATAAAGCAGAAGGATCAGTCAACTGAAATGCAGGACAGTGGAATTCACCCAATCAGAGCAGCAAAAAGAAGAAAGAAAGAAAGTGAAGATAGCTTAAAGAACAACATCAATCAAACTAACATTCGCATTATAGGAGTTCCAAAGGAGAAGAAAGAGGTAAAGATGCAGAAAACTTCCTTAACCTGGGGAAGGAAATGGACATCCAGATCCAGGAAACACAGAGGGTTTCAAATAAGAAGAACCCAAAGAAACACATACCAAGGCACATCAAAATTAAAATGTCAAAAGTTAAAGACAAGGAGGGAACCTTAAAAGCAACGAAAGAAAGCCAACTTGTTATATACAAGGGAATCCCCAAGAGACTATCAGGAGATTTTTCAGCAGAAACTTCACAGTAAAAAAGAGTGGCAGGATATATTCAAAGCACTAAAAAAACACAAAAGATAATGAGAAATCAATCTAAGCATACCAGTAAATAAAGTAATTAAACCACAAAAGGGAGAGAGTAAGAAAGGGACAGAGGAACTACAAAACAGCCAGAAAACAATTAACAAAATGGCAATAGGGACATGCAAATCAAAAATTACTTTAAATGTAAATGTACTAAATTCTCCAATCAAAGACAGAGTGGCTAAATGGATTAAAAACGAACAAACAAAAACACATGACCCACCTATATGCTGCCTACAAGAGACTCACTTCACATGTAAGGACACACACAGATTGAAAGTGAAGGAGTGGAAAAAGATATTCCATGCAAATGGAAACCAACAGAGAGCTAGAATAGCTATACTTATATCAGACAAAACAGACTTTAAAACAAAGACTGTAATAAGAGACAAAGATTACATATCATTACATAATGGTAAAGGGTCAACCCAGCAAGAGAATATAACATTTGTAAATATTTATGCACCCGTCACAGGAGCAGCTAAATACATAAAGCAAATATTAACAGACCAATAGGGAGAAATAGACAGCAATACAATAATAGTAGGGGACTTTAATACACCACTTACATCAATGGATAGATCATCCAGACAGAAAATCAATAAGGAAGGATTGGCCTTAAAAGATATGTTAGACTAGATGGACTTGACATTTTATATATAAATTCCATCCAAAAGCAACAGAATACACATTTTTCTCTAGTGCACATGGAATATTCTCCAGAATAGATCATATATTAGGACACAAAACAAGTCTTAAAAAATTTGAGATTTAAATCATATGTAGCCTTTTTTCTGACCAAGTGGTATGAAACGAGAAATCAATTACAAGTAGAAAACTGGGAAATTCACAAATAGGTAGAAATTAAATAACGTGCTACCGAACAACCAATGGGTCAAAAAAGAAAACAAACAGAAATATCTTGAGACAAAGGAAAACAGAAATACAACATACCATAACTTATGAGATGCAACAAAAGTTCTAAGAGGGAGGCTCATAGTGATAAATGCCTATATCAAGAAACATGAAAAATCTCAGATAAATAACTTAATGTCACACCTCAAAGTACTACAAAAAGAAGAACAGAAAGAAGAAAATAAGATCAGAGCAGAAATAAATGAAATACAGACTGAAAAGAAAATAGAAAAGATCAATGAAATCATGAACTGTTTCTTTGAAAATATAAACAAAATTGATAAACCTTTGGCTATACTCACCAAAAAAAAAAAAAGAGGTCTCAAATAAATAAAATCAGAAATGAAAGAGGAGGCCTTACAGCTGATACCACAAAAATACAAAGGGTCATAAAAAACTACTATGAACATTTGTATATCAATAATTGTACAAACTAGAAGAAATGGGAAAATTCCTAAAACAACCTTTCCAGACTGAATCATGAAGACATAGGAAATCTGAACACACCAATTACTAGTAAGGAGATTGAATCAGTAATCACAAACTTGCCAACAAACAAAAGTCCAAGACCAAAAGGCTTCACTAGTGAAGTCTACCAAATGTTCAAAGAAGAGTTAATACCAATATTTCTCATTTTTTTTCAAAAGAATAGAAGAGGAGGGAACACTTCCAAGCTCATTTCACATGGCCAGCATTACCCTGATACCCAAGCCAGACAGGACCACCACCAGAAAAGAAAATTACAGGCCAATATTCCTCATGAACATAAATGCAAAAATATCTGATACTTTTAATGTATTGTTAAATTCAACAATACATTAAAAGGAT